ATTTTACAAATGATTTTATACAATTTAGATGAAATAAGAACATGGATTTCATTTTACTGTAACCTTTATTTTTAATTTTTGACATATAGGGAAATATTTACAAATATAATGTTTGTTTACGTAGTGACTAAAGGTAGAAGATTTAAAAAAGAAACATACAAACAATATTCAAACATTCAAGGACCTCGAATAATTATCGGGGGGTGGATGGAAGTAGGGCCAAAAATAAATAATAATTAAAATCGCACAAATACAGTCCTCTACTTATGGGTATTATTATACATCTTCATTTTGCATCACCAGTAATATTGCAGAAAAAACATTGAATGTGGGTTACACCACTATTGCACTGATAGCCTTAATTGTTTACTTACCTAACATTAGCTTTGTGCAAATGTCCAACCGGAGGTATGTGTATGTCGATGTCCCGAAAGGCGTACACGTCTTCCGCCTTGATCTCGATGTCGTCGATGTCCACCGCGGGGGCCACCGCGGTGACAGTAGGAAGCGGGACAGGCGGCGTGGTATTTGTGCTTGCTGGACAAAAAACCGTACCTTTAATATAACAATTGTAACTATTTTTATTAAAAAACCGGCCTCAAAAGTTACCGTTAATACAATAGCGTATGAACTCAAAAAGTGTACTTTCTCAGAATCGACGACAAACGAATTACTCGTTTCCCGTGAAAGATGATTAACATGTATGTATAGTTATCATTGACCTACCAACAAATGGGCGTCGGGTCTAATACAAAAACCACCAAAAAAAGTCTGAAGTTAACCTATACAAACGTAGTGACATGTAACGAAATATAAACGACTAAAACATTTAATTTAAATTGTAACGTCATTGCAGTAGTGCCTAATTTTGCTTGCAACAATTTAAGGGCCCAAAAGCACCATATTCAGTTTCTACTGGAAATTTAACAAAATGCACCATATTTAGCTTCGACTGAAAATTACTTGAACACAAGAGTAATGTAAAAATGGAGTAGCCTTTGTCGTAAATATTAATTCATTGTTATATATATTATTATGTCGAATTTTGTACAAATTCACTTAAAGAAATAATAAAGTGTTGGGCAGATGCATACATACACATATTACTGTAAATGTGAAAATAAGCGTGTACTATAAGAAATGTACCGACATTCCAGGTAAACGTAAATTCAAATATCCGTAATTCCGAAAACCGATTTATAATAAAACCGTTACGCTTTCGACTAATTTTGATGCTTTTCACAAAGACAAAATTAGCTTTTGTTTTGTAATCTTTCTAAAAAAATGCATTTGACATTGTGAAAATTCGAGCTAACGTTATTTCGGGCAAATGTATTTCTGACTTCTGATAGGTAATCCCAAGCCTGTACAAAGTAAAGCGAGTACAACAATATTTTGTTAGTTATTGCTAACGTTTAATAAAAAGTCATTTAAAAAATTAAATTAAAATCAAAGCGACTCTATAGTTTCTTTGTTCTAAATATTTCAATCGCTTGTGGTTCCAACAATTGAAAGTGACCAAGAAGTTTTAAGCTTCTTGAAATTGACGTAATGGGTCTCTTTCCAACTTTTAAAGTTATTATTATTGGTACTACTTATTGGTGACAACCGCGTGTCAGGCGAACAAACGAAGACTGTTGCGCGATTGACGCTCTGTATGCGATTTTAACGCCCTATAGGTGCGGACACTTTTTAGCGCGAACCCGACGTCCATTCATTGGTAGGTCAATAATAGTTTATTACAAACGGTTACGTTTATTGCTCCATTAGATACAGAAAAATATAACCCATATCCTCTCCAATTCTTGTAATCCTACCGACTAATATTGTAGATAGAATTACAAGAATTGGAGAGGATGTGGGTTATATTTTTCTGTATCTGATAGAGCAATAAACATGTTTGACGTAACTCCACTTATGCCAGTCTTCCATGAGCGGTGCGAAATGATGGATGATTTATTATTATTATTACGGTTTGCTGGAAGACGTTCGCGTTGGTTCGAATCAAGGATTCTTTTCCCAGTGTTCGATCTTTGTAAGTAAAGATATAATAAACAGATTAAAGAGCCAAACGCACCTTTCAATTGTTGTTCAATTTGCACTAATTGACTTTTGATATGTTCGATCGCAGCGTGCTTGTTGTCGTGAGGGCTGACGCTCCCGCTTACGCCTCCGCTTCCGCTTGCGCACGTGCCTCCGCTCCCGCTGCCGCCTTTCTCCAACAGCATCGACAGCGTCGGGGCTCCAGCAGAAGGCGACACTGTTTCTAAAAGTAATAAGTATCTACAGGGTGTTAAAAAAAAGGTCCGACCACAAAGCATTTCGTGATCGCATAAAATATTCTACTTAGGGCGAGGTATTTTAGGAGGTGATGTGTGTGTGTGGTTTGCCCGCGCCTCCCGCAATCCGCGCGAAGAAAATGCATATAACGCGCACAGTCAACATAGCCCCGAACTAGGGAAACCCTGTGTCGCGGTTGCATGGACACACACATAGACAACCACAAATTACACCCAAACTGACGAGAGGAATAAATGTAGGCCATATAAATATTTCTCCCAGCCCGGGAAATGAACCTGTACCCCTCTGCGTGGCAGTCGGCCACGTTCGGCCACGGGACCAGTAAGTAAATAACCACTTATTTTGACCGTTGTTGTAATTTTTTTTCTCGACTTTATATATATAAAAGTTATATATTTTCGACTGGAGGTCTTTGTATCCAGGTCATGAAATAAATTTAAAAAAAAAGAATTGTCATTTTATTCCACCTTCAAAAAAGACAGACTACTTGTATGGATGAGATAAACGCGCACCCCTCATGGAAGAATGGCATAACTGGAGTAACGTCAAACATGTTGCTCCATTAGATACAGAAAGATATAACCCACATCCTCTTCAATTCTTGTAATTCTATCGACCAATATTGTAGATCTCTCCAATTCTAGTATACTCCATTAGGAGCAATAAACGTTTTTAACATAACTCCACTTATGCCATTCTTCCATGAGAGATGCGAAATAGGCTTTAAAAAGGATTAGGGATAACATACCGACAACATTTGCAGGATGTGATATGTGCTGTGGAGTCGTGACAACCGGTGAAGACTTCAGGAGTGACGTCAACAGCGGGGATGAAGGGGTCGTGGGGGGCGATGGAGCTGAAACAAACATTATTATTATTTTTTATAATATCAAGTGAGGGGATGAAGACGTCGTCCACCTGATAAGCTACACGCCTATCCATAACAGTTGCTGTGCCACTCGAGAGCTTTAAATCGCAACGAGCTGACAACTGCCACTGTGCCCGTCACCCTGAGACATAAGTTGACAAGTCCCATGTGCCTGTAATTTCATCAGCACCCTTAGCGCGTTTACGCATTGCATCCAACTTGTATTCGTTCCGAATCCGAGACTCTAAGGGTGGCAAACTAGGGGATGAACCCGGTTTCGCGCAGTTTCCAACCGATTTTAATAAAACTTGGCAAATAGATGTGATTCCACGAACTTTTCAGGTAGGTGTTTTTAGTACTCTGCACTGAGTTTATATATCATTAAAAAAAATTATAATATAGTAGATTGTAAAACAAGTGCATAAAACGCGTCATTTTACGCGAGACGAGTATATCCACTTAAGTCGAGGGTAAAATGGGTTTTATGAACGAGTTATATATACGCTCTGCTTTTCACTTCGATTGCGAGGAAATTAAACAGCAATATTACAAATAAACGATCGGACTACATAATGCTCAGTTATATTTTACAAGCTTTCAGTTTTTTATGCATTTCTATTTCTTATAACTTATTAGAATTACTATTGCCTACATTTTTAATTTTGTAATATAACACGGATTAAAAAAATAAAAGTAAAACTTTATTATATAAGGTTCTAGTGCGCGTGGCTGTTGGCGCAGGCGTCATTGCCTCGGTCTTAAACGCCGATTTTATTTTATGCACTAGAGCATAAAATCGTATTTTATGCAGCTGGGTGTACCAGCATAAAATACGAACTTTAAGAGCATGAGAAGTGAAAACCCTTTTTTTCCCCCCATCTAGTTTGACACTGTCCGAGACCCTTGTTCATTTGTTTTTGTTGGTATTATTTTCTCAAAAAATTTAAGTTGCTGTTTTTAAATTCAAATTAATTTATATTTACGTTGTTTTTCCAAGCTGTGTTCACTCATAAGTAGTTGTGCAATTTAGATAAGAACTTCACCAAATTTAATTTAAAGTATGTAACATTGTACAGTTATCTGTAAATGAACCAATAAACAACAAAAAAAAACTAAAGGACTTTCAAGGCTCCGACAGTTAGCATATTGTTACCTATGGTGGTACTCTGTGCAGGTGGACGCCAAGTCCTCTCAGCCCTAGCTCGTCGTTCCTCTCTATCTTTGAGCCACTGCGCGCGTCGCGCTGTTTCTCTCTCCCTCACGCGTTTCGCCGTTTCTACTTCCGCCCAAATCTCGCGCAGGCGCTCTTCTGACGTGGATGAATTTCGTGTTTCATTTATTTCGTTCTGAAATACAAATGTATGTTAATTTGTGCCCTGAAAAATTCGCCTGCTGCAAGCAAACGGTTGGGACCACAGAAATCTAAATATACATTGGGTCACAATTTTACAACCATACAGTTGCGCAACGAAGTAAGTAGTTTTATTATGGTGCCGGTAGATGGCGCTGAATCGTATGTTGTTTAGGTAATATGCCAATAGATGGCGTTGAACTGTATTCAATTTAGCCACCGTTTCACAAACCATGCAGAGATGCGCAACGAGAGCAACAGCCAAAGAGTACCTTATACATAACTAGTATAGAGTTATCAGCTCATAATTGGCCCTTGGTGGCTAACGCGGGAAGTATTATAGTATAGAAGTATACCTACAGAGAGTACACAATCTCCATATTCATGCTTTTAATAGCTTTCTGGGTTCTTGTTTATATTTAAACATGTTTTGAAGTTAAAATACGGTCTTTATGAAATATGTATCGGGTTCTGAAATATTCTCTAAAAATTTTATGGAAAAAAAAGAGATGCCAGCGCCATCTATCGATTAACGACGTCCATCTTCCTGGACATACAAATCAAAATGTACGTAGTGATAAGATCGTGGCAACGGCGGAGTACTTGGTACTTGGTGCAACGGGCCGGTATCCGCAACTCGACGACAAAGCGCCTATTTTGCGTGTGGCGGAGTATTTGCGGGGAGTATTATCTCACAGAAACGCTTAGTTTGTAGAATCGAGCTCTAGGGTCGACGCGTGCATAATTTTTAAATACTTTCAACGAATTCTACTAAAACTGCTAGATTTGACCGCAGAATTATAAAAATTTAAATGCGGGGGTGAGAGGGAAGGAGTGTGCAAGAGAGAGGGATGATTCGAAATAAAAGAAGAGAAGACGTGGGGCTTTTGTTTTTATAGACGACGTATGATGGATTATGTTGAAGCAGCAAGAATAAATAATTTTTCACCTAACCTTTTTCTTTCATCATCCCACATAAATAAGTGCTACCATATAAATGTAGGTTGCAATTCTGCAATCAATTAATAAAACAATACAAGGATCTAAATCTGAATTAAACAAGGTTCTACAAACATGGTTTTCATCGAAGCTGAGGAAGTATCCTTAACTCGCTCGTGTCACGACAGAAGGATTGGCGCCTATGTTGCGCTTCTACAAGCATCTAATTTTAAGGCACTCTAATTCAGCAAAGCTAATTTTCCAAATTTACAAATGAAGAAGGAAATTCAAAGAGTAAGCAACAGTTGGGCACGCTATTATTTATTTATATTTGGGAAATTAACAGCTCAAGTGACATTGATGTAGTTACAATAAACAAAGATACACAGATACGCAGAGAGCCTTTACATTCCTTCCTCGACTATTCTAAATGTATCAGTACTTCACAGTAATATAACAAAAAAAAACAAATTAGATAGCAAAGCAAGGTTAGGAGACCAAAGTGTGTGTGTGTATGGTGTGTTTGGGTGTGTATGGTGAGTGTGTGTGTGTGTGTGTAAGACGTGCGCGCGCGTGTTTGTGTGTATGTGAGTGGGTGTGTGCATACTTGTATATTACACATATTATGAGTTTGAATACTGTCACTCATAAACATCATTAGTCGCTCAAAGAAATACTCAAGAATCAAATAATCCCAATGTCAGACAAGAGTAAAGTCTTCAACACATGCATCCTTCCAGTGTTCAGATATGGATGCCAAACATGGAGCTTGACTAAGTATGGCTTAGCCAAAGACTAAATGTCTGCCAAAAAGGGATGGAGAGAAGCATGTTACACATCAAGCTGAGAGACAAATGGAGACTCTCCAGAATTAGGAAAGCAACCAAGGTGACAGATGTCACAACGAAAATCACTAAATCCAAAGTAAGATCACCAAAATAAAAGTGGCCCAAGGATATGACACATTGGTATCCAAGAGATGGAAAGAGGTATAGAGGAAGGCCAACAAGAAGGTGGGAAGACGAACTGCCCCGAGAATGGCGCCGGTCGGCACAAGATCGTTGCTTATGGAGAAATATGAATGATGCCCATGTCAGAGGACAACCTGATCAAAACCAGAACTGATGCTAATGTTAGAATTAAGAATTATTACTGTTAGAAGTAAGCATTAGGTTAAACTTAGAATTAATTAAGAAGTAATCAGCAGGGATCGGAATAGGTAGAGTTTTTTTACTTCGAGGAACATAGACAGAAAATGGAGACTGCCTTACGACAATATTTGTTACATCCTGGGCCTTTTCGGGATTCGGGAAATCACTAAATAACATTAAAAACTGACGTAATTGGGGACAGGTAGGTACACTATATTTATCTTAACTTTGTGACGCACAGTGAATAATAAAAAAATAAGTGTATTTTTTTCACAACACCTCTCTAAAAAAAATGCCAATCGAAAGATCCTATTGTCCTAATTAAATATTGTCATATCACATTTTGCCACAAATGTAATAGTTTAGTAGGAAAAAAATAATATGTGTATTTTTTGTATGGGACCATACCTTTAGTGCCCCATCGTTACAAAGGGAACAGGACAGGACCTAAAAACTATTCTAAAGGCAGTCTCCATTTTCTGTCTATTTCCCTAAGTTTAGGCAAAAAAACTGGTAACCTATCACAAAGTCGAAAATTTTTTTTTTTTTTTTGTCTGAAATAACGTTTGTTCGAATTTTCATTACACCGAAAACCGAATTATAACGAAACAGTTGTTCTTTCAGCATATGTTGAATGTTTATCACAAAGACACGATTAGGTTCGGTTAGGTTAGGTTATGTTAGGTTTAAAAGAAAAAGGGTGGCGGCTGCCGGCTGCCTGTTGGTGGGGTGGTCCTCCGCCGGGGTCCATGTGATGGAGCCCCTCCCCATGCGCTGCTTCAGGTGCATGGGGATTGGCCACACCAGAGCCCTCTGCCCGTCTAGTGTGGACAGGAGCGGGCTCTGCTTCAGGTGTGGCCAGGTGGGACACTCGGCCTCCGGGTGCACGGCGACCCCGCGGTGTTCGGTCTGCACCGCGGCCCGCCGTCCAGCGGACCACGTAATGGGGGGGCGATCTTGCGCTCCCCCCCCCACCAAGGGCAAGCCGGCGGGGACCTCAGGCCCCCTCCCTATTGAGGGACAAAGTATGGAGCAGTGATGCCAGCACGCCACCATACTATACTGCAGGGCAACCTCAACCACTGTGCCAGGGCACAGGACTTATTGGTCCAGGCCATGGCGGAGTGGGGGGTTGCGGTGGCTGCTGTGGCGGAGCCATACTTTGTCCCCCCTCGGGGGAACTGGGCGGAGGATCGGGAGGAGACGGTGGCCATAGTGGCGTCGACTGCCGGGAACTCCCCCCCTCTAGCGGTGAAGGAACGTGGATCAGGGTTCGTGGCGGCAAGGTGGGGAGAAGTCATCCTAATTGGGGTGTACTTCTCTCCTAATCGCTCCCTGGCCCAATTCCAGGCTTTCCTGGAGACCCTAGAGAGGGCGGTGAGGAGGGCAGCTCCGGCGCCGGTGTTGGTGATGGGGGACCTCAACGCCAAGAGCGCTGCGTGGGGTTCCCCGGTCACCAATGCCAGGGGGCCAGAGTTGGAGGATTGGGCGGCAGCCTTAGGGCTGGTCGTCCTCAACCGGGGTCATGCCAGCACGTGCGTGCGGCGAAATGGGGGGTCAATCGTGGACGTCACGTTCGCGACCCCCTCACTAGCCGCGCGAGTATCCGGCTGGCAGGTCCTGGAGGACGAGGAGACCCTCTCCGACCACAAATACATACGGATGAGGGTCTCCCATATGCCGCTCACGACGGCCTCCAACACGGCCCCCGGGGGGGGCTTTCCCAAATGGGCACTCACCCGCCTGGACCTTGAGCTCGCAGAGGAAGCAGCCATGGTCCAGGCGTGGTGCCCCCCCCCCACCGGCCACCGTCGACGTGGAGCAGAGGGCGGTCAAGTTCAGGGAAGACTTGACCGCCGTCTGCGAGAGGACCAAGCCCAGGGTCAGAGGGACTTCGGGCAAAAAGAGGGTGTACTGGTGGACCGCGGAGATTGGGGACCTCCGCACCGCCAGTACAGCAGCCCAGCGGGCCTATGGCCGATGCCGTCGCAGGCGCCATACCCGGAGTGAGGAGAGAAGGCTCCACAGCGCCCTTCAGGGCACGAGACAGGCCCTGAAGGTCGCAATAGGGCGGGCCAAGGACTCTGCGAAAGAGGAGTTCTTGGCCACCCTGGACGCGGACCCATGGGGGAGGCCGTACAAAGTTGTGCGCAACAAAATGTACGGCGCATCTCCCATGGAGTCACTGGAGCTCGATCTCCTCAACCGGGTGGTGGAGGGCCTCTTTCCCGAACCACAGCCCTTCACCCCACCGACCATGGTGCCCCCTAGAGCAGACGGGAGGCAGACTGAGGAACCCCCCCCGGAAATTACCGAGGGGGAGTTGGAGTGGGCGGTGGGACGGCTGCGGAGGCGGAAGAAGGCCCCCGGCCCGGACGGGGTACCGGGACGAGTCCTTCGCATTGCCCTGAAGCATCTCGGGACCCGCCTCAAGCATCTCATGGATGACTGCTTGAGGACGGGGTTGTTCCCGAGATGCTGGAAGGAGGGAAGGCTCGTCCTGGTGCCCAAGCCGGGCCGACCTGCGGACTCCCCCTCGGGGTTCAGGCCCCTCGTCCTGCTGGACGAGGTGGCGAAGATCCTGGAGCGAATCATCGCCTCCAGGATCAACGAACACCTGAGGGGGACAGGCCCCGATGTGTCGGAGCGGCAGTTCGGGTTCAGGGCTGGACTCTCCACCCTGGACGCCCTGGAGTCGCTGCGACACATCGTGGAGGAGGGTAACGGCGAGGGGGAAGGCGTGGTGGCTGTGTCGTTGGACATAGCCAACGCCTTCGGCACTCTCCCCTTCGCCGTTATCAGGGAGGCGCTGAGGTACCATAACATCCCCAGGTACCTCAGCCGTCTGGTGGAGCACTACCTGGAAGACAGGGTGGTGCTCTACCAGACGAGGGAAGGGAGGCGCGCCGAGCGCCCAATGAGGTGCGGAGTACCCCAGGGGTCCGTATTAGGACCACTACTGTGGAACCTGGGGTACGATTGGGTGCTGAGGGGCGCGCTGCTCCCCCGGACGGCGGTCATCGCGTACGCCGATGACACGCTGGTGGCCGTCCGGGGGACCACCTTCCAGGAGGCGGCCCGAAGAGCCTCAGTAACGGCGGACATGGTGGTCCGCCGAATACAACTGCTGGGGCTCGAGGTCGCCGTGCCGAAGACGGATGTGGCCGTCTTCGGCGGGAGGGGTAGAGGTTGGGCGGTGCCGGCAGGCGCCCACATCTCCATCGCGGGAGTATCGGTCCCGGTCAAGTCCCAGATGAAATATCTGGGACTTGTCCTGGACCGGCGATGGAACTTCGGGAAGCATTTCCGGCAACTCGCTCCCCGAATAGTGGGCGCCGCATCGGCGATAGGCCGTCTCCTGCCCAACCTCGGGAGGCCGGGAGCCTCGTGCAGGAGGCTATACGCCGGGGTGGGACCTCGAAGCCGAGGTCCTGGCGGAGGTCCACGCCTACCGGCGGGGAATGAGGGACCGAGGCGAGCGCCCTGCTCCCCAAGAGGTCTATCGGGAGCGCCGCCTCGCGGCGCAGCGCATGCGGGACCGGTGGAAAGAGGGCTTGGCGGATCCCCCCTATGGCGCTCGTACCATAGGGGCGATCCGCCCTGTCCTCGTAGAGTGGGTAAACCGGTCCCACGGGCCACTGTCGTACCACCTTGTGCAGGTGCTGACTGGACACGGGTGTTTCGGTCACTACCTGCATGGTGGCGAGGAGGGAACCGTTCCCGTCGTGCCACGAGTGCGGCGCTGCGGATGACACCGCGCAGCACACCCTAGAGGTGTGCAGCCGGTGGGATGAGCAGCGCCGCACTCTGACGGGGACTTTAGGGCAGGACCTCTCGCTGCCGAGCGTGGTTGCCGCCATGCCCGATACCGAGGAGTCCTGGGAGGCGGTGGCTTCCTTTTGCGCAGAGGTTATGTCGCAAAAGGAGGCCGCGGAGCGGGTGCGCGAGGACGCGGCGGACGCGCACCCGCTTCGGCGCAGACGTACGGGGAGAAGGCGCAGGCAGTTCGCTGCTCGCCTGATCCCCTAGTGAGGCCAGCGGGCTCTGGACAGGGACTCCGGAGCCTGCATTGCACGGCCTCACTCGTCTGGGGGGCGGGTCGGAGGACAACCGACTCGCCCCTCCGTTGGCGCGGGAGCCCTGGCGCAAGCTAGGGCGGCCGGGCGGCGTCGTGGTGAATGTTCACCGATCCCACGGCGCCGACTCAACCGGCGAGAGGGAAACCCGGGGGGGTTTTAGTGGGGTAGGCCCTCCAGTCTGGAGGGAGAGTCCCCACATAACCCCTGAGTCTCCCTGGGCTCAGGGGTATCCATAAAGATTTCCCCCCCGTCAAAAAAAACATTTTCCTCTCAAAATTACTTTCGAGGTTATGAAAATTCGAGCAAACGTTATTTCTGGAAAATGTCATTTCAGACTACTGATAGGTAACCAAAAAAACTCTACCTATTCCGATCCCTGGTAATCAGAGAATAATTTTCCCAATTAGCTCGATTGTGACCTTCTCGTCTACTGCCCACTGTGTGAACCATTGGGCGTGAATTTAAAAAATTACTAATTTCTAACCGTCTCTCTTCCGGATGCTATGAATATAATTATTGGAGCTTACGAGTACACACCTTTAACTGCTCGTACTGTTGGTTCATTTCAGCGATGGTCTTTTGAATTTCAACTATGCGCTCCTGTGTAAGCCTTTTGAGTATGCTCTCCTGCGGAGTCTCCACTGCACCTTCCGAGCTGCGCTTTTTGCGTTTCGGAGTTTCCACATGCTCCAGTAGGGCTCCATATTGCGCTGCGCAACTGGAAGTAAAAGAAGTATATAGTAGTGGCCAATTACACAGTAAAGTCTTGCACAGTAGTAGTAGAGTTCCTTGTGGGAGGTAATCCAGGGAAGTACTGCCACCTTACCTATTTCTGCTACCAAGCAGTAGTTTTAAAGGGTAAGGGTGCAAAAGGGTGGTGAAATTACAGGCACATTGAACTTGTCAACTTATGTCTCATGGTGACGGGCGCAGTGGCAGTGCCCTCAGATCTTTGTGATTTGGTGGCACTGGAACTGTTACGGATAGACGTGTCACTTCCCATCAGGGACAAAATTTGTTCGTCCTGTCATTTGGTATCATAGAAAAAAGTACTATGCCGAGGTCGCTCTCCAAAATCGTCAGCAAACCCAAAGAAACTGCGATTTTTTGGAGCAACTAGGGTGACATGAGTATAATCCTATACTAATGATTTTTTATTTATTTATTTGTGTTCAGGTTCCAAAAACCAATAAATACATACTTATTGGGTTTTGTCCATAATAATACAATAAAAACACTCATATAATATCGACCCCTCCTACGTAAAGTATCGTATGTCGAAATTGCCAAGTTTACAGGGGAGCGTTTTAAAGTTCTGAATTCACTGAAAGAGTGATCACCATAGATCATCTAACCGATATCTAGGATTTTATAATACTCTATGTGAGTAATGAGCTTTGCCGAATAAAACTGAGAAATGCTAAAGTCACGTGTTATGTTCGTTTCAGTGAATTCAGAACTTCCCTGTAAACTTGGCAATTTCGACATATGATACTTTACGTCGGAGGGGTCGATATATACCTTAAGGAATAACATACATACAATATAATAAAACACTTATTTCTAACTAATCTACACGAATTGCACTTGTCAGCGGCATGTGGCGCAATCTGGTGTCTGGTAACCGGCCGCGGAATCGCCGATACATGGAGGTCGAAAGATATTCGGTCGGTACTCTCACTACAAACGAATTAAAGTCTCCGTTGTGGCGGGACTCCAACTGCTCGACTCTCAGGCTGTATTTGGCTTTATGTCTGATGTACTCCACTATCTCCTCAGACTTCGTGGAGTAATGCAGGAAGTTCGGTCCAGTCGGTGCTGTGCCACACTGGTTACGGCTGGTGGGCTTCCTCTTCACCACCTTTGTGAAGCCGTCCTTAACGCACCGGTCCGTCTGCCTCTGTGGTTTTGCAACTTCAGAGACAGGCTCACGAGGATTATTTTTGTTCTTATGATGCAATGGGGGTGTCATAATGGAAATAGATATCGAAAATAAATCTTAGCGCATACATAATCGCAAATGTAAATACTATAAAATCTCAACAAAACAATTCCAAATAGGACTTGCTTTTGCATTGCATTTTTATCATAATTGCATTTACCATAGCTCAAAACCACGCAACACACTGATAAGCAATCAGACGGAAAGAACAAGGAAAAACGCGTGCGGAACTTTCGCAGTAGCGTGAGAAGCAGAGAGACAATAATACAAGAACAAATAATAAACAAAATAAAAAAGGACACAATTAATATATTATTAAGTTAATAAAAAACTGCATATAGGAAATAATATAACCAACAAAAAAGTATAAAACCAACAACAACGAAACTAAGCTTGAACAATTACCCCAATCATCACGCAAAGGTCGAAACAAAACTACCCACATTCAAAGTGAATGCATTCGTATTCGTGCATAATAGCCAATCTATAGATAAATATTCTGTTTTACACATCAAGTGGTTGGAGTAATTTATTTTTATCTTAATAATTTCATTTTCTATCTACTTAAAATACTGTAATTTTTACTTAAAGGGCTTTCTCGATACTGCAATGCGTCAGGCATGTTTGCCGACGCTAGTGTAGAGGATTTTTACGCACTAATGTGAAAAAAGGTAGCATCCTGCCTGCGCAGAGTGCGAGAGAGCTCAAACAGTGTTCTTAAAATGATAAGGGATAGGTGGGACTCCGATCTGCTTGCAGGGTTCACTGAACTTCACGTCCTGGGAGCTTGGTGAACTTAGCAAGTATCATGTAATCATTTCACTCACATAATCAATTCATGTCATTCTTTCATTCATTTTATTTTGTAATTTTTGTACTAACAGTAGAATAGATAGCTTGTCAAGTACATTGTTTATTTGTACTATAATTTACAGACTGTATATTGTTTGCAATAAATGATGTTTATTTCTAATTTATTTTATATTAAAAGTAATCAAATCAAATCAAATCAAATCAAATCATTTATTTCTTTGTGATACACAGGTTATAAAGTTGTTACAAGAATGAATTTTGAATCACTGTGATCCGCCTTATGGCATACAAAGTTTTCTTAATTTTAGTAATTCTCATGCAATAATTTGTAATAATATTATAATCATGCAGTCCAATTAATGCAACCTATTACTAATGAAACATAATAACAATAGTAAAATAATCAATAACAAATTTAATAATATGAAATGTAAATTTTATAAGAAATCTTCAATATTATAGAATGTCCAATCATTTAGGTAATTAAATAATAATTTCTTAAATTCTGCACAATCGTTGCAATTCCTAATTTCAAGTGGAAGTTTGTTATAAACCTTCGTAGCCATTACTATTACACTCTTTTGAAGTAGAGCAGTTTTACATGATCTACTTTTCAGTTGATGAGAACGGCGGGCTCGTGTGACGAATTCAAATAAATGAAGATGACGCTTTACGAAAAGTGAAATTTCAAATATATATAAGCATGGTAAAGTCAGTATTTTCAAATTTTTAAAATGTGGTTGACAGCTATCTGTTTTTTTCAAGCCGCATATAGCCCGAATACATCTCTTTTGGGCTTTGAATATGCGTTCAATGTGTGGTGCATTTCCCCAAAAAATGATTCCATACCTAAGGTTGGATGCTACATAACCATGGTAGGCGGTCACTAGAGCGTCTAAATTTACTATTTTCGATAGCCTAAACAATGCATAAGAAAACTTTAGTATCTTACCACATACATATTCTAGGTGTGTTTGCCATTTTAGATTATTATCTATATATAAACCTAAGAACTTTACTGTCATTGTTTCACCGACCTCCTTGCTTTCATAGACCACTTTAGTTTGCATAGGTTTATTGTGTCTTTGTTTAAAGTTCATAACTTTAGTTTTGTCAAGATTTATAACTAGATCATTATATTTAAGCCATTCAATAATAGAGTTCAAACTTGTATTTATATTGGTTTCATTGTCATAAATTACCGTACAATCATCCGCAAACAATATCATAGGGTCGTTAATTGATTTAGAAATGTCATTTATGTATATTAAGAATAACAATGGTCCCAATACGCTACCTTGAGGTACTCCTCGAGTAATAGTTTGTTTTTGGTACATTGTAACACTTTTCACTTATTAACCGACTTCAAAAAAGGAGGAGGTTCTCAATTCGACTGTATGTTCTTTTTTTTTTGTATGTATGTTACGCGATAAGTCCGGCATTTGTGAACCGATTTTCATGATTCTTTTTTTGTTGGAAAGGGGGTATTTCCATAGTGGTCCCATTTCATTTTGAAGAAAATCATCCACCTCAAAGGGTGGCTGTTCACGCATGAAGATTCATTTTTATAAATAGCGCCTAACTTTAATTTAGGAGCAATTACTTTTAGCAATTATTTAGTTGATTTTGCTATTTCTCCAATTAAAGGCGTTTTTCTCTCGATATACTTTGGCGAACTAGGGGATATTTCAATGAAACTTAGCAAATAGACGTAATTCCACGTACTTTTGAGGTCGGTTTTTTTAGTACTGTGTACTGAGATTATTTAGTAACCTGATTGAGAGATTATTTCAAAATATCATCACCTTACTTTCTCAACCTCGTATCTTAAAGCACCTCAAGTAACTGAAATGCAAAAAATGATAGAATATTCTATAATATTATATTATATTGTATATTATATAATATACAATAAATAGAAAGTTGTTACCATCTCCAGGATAATCACTGTTTATAAGGTACGAAATTGAGAAAGTCAGGGATCAACATGTGTAACATAAAAATTGGAAATATTACTTAACTTTCAAGTTGGACACTTAGGGCCAGTGCAAACCGGCAGATGGGAAGATATTTCAGGTTATTACAATTGAAATAAGGTATAAATTTTAATGCTCTGAGGCCGACCTCTGAATAGAACAGTGCGTTTCTCTCTCCGGTATTGAAAAGCATACTAGAGGGAAATGTATGCAACAGAATTAAGTGCCGGAGCCTGCCTGAATTAGGGGAGTATCGGCTAGCAAAATTTGTAATAATTAAATACCTTTATTACTTTTTTTTTTATTAACCTGTTCATTTCCACTGTCAAATGTCTCCCCCAAAGTCCTCCATTGCTTCCTGTCTTTGGCGATCTCCCACCACTCCCTCTCAAACCCATCAATATCGTCCCGCCACTGACCCGGACGGCTGAGAAGGCGTTGGCGAGACCTGATTTAATTACCATAATAATGATGTTTTTTTTTTTACTTTTCCCAAACGCCAATCCTTTACATCTAACTGAACTTTTCATTAATAATGTCATATATAACTTAATGTCCAAAGCATTGTCCTTCTCTTTATTTTCTGTTTCTTCTGTTTCTGTACTTGATGAAATCAATAATAAGACAAGACTTTTGTTTAAATTATGGATACGATCTAGATCAGGGGTTCCCAAACTTATTTTGTCTACTGCCCACTTTAAGAATAAATTATTTTTAGCGCCCCTATTTTTATTATTTATTTAAACATTTTATTCTATCACAAAGTAACTTACAAATTTTCAGAAACAATTTGAACATTTGCGTACAAAGGCGAGCTTATCCCATAAAGAGATTTCTTCCAACTAACCTTTGAAAATCTGAGAGGAAAGTTGGTTTTTGGGGTGGCACCAAAAATAGATAAGTTGGTTTTTGGGGTGGCACCAAAAATAGATAAGTAAAGAAATGGAATATACTATACTCAATAAATACACAGATAAATTTAATAAA